TATTAGGCACGGGCCTTTCGGCCATATTTAAAACCATCTGTTCTGACGCAACAAAGATAAAAGATGATGAAAGAATAAAATTAAAGGGTTTCTTCTATAATGTTTTTTTGTTTGTCTTTTTTTTTTCTTTGTTTTAATCCTCAAGATAATTTCGACAATGATTTTTATTCATTTTTCTAGCTATTTTTTTCCAATCGGTTTCTCTTCGGTCCGCGCTGAATATTACAAAATTTGCCAGTGGCTTTTTTTGCTGCAATGATTCGGAAAAAAAAGACAGAAAAAAAATTCTTGCTTATCTGATCGAGTGAATTTCTCGAAAATTATTCATGGTGAGAAGTGGCTATTTTTACCAAAAAAATATAATACAACGCACAAGAGTTACGGGTTGGAAAGAAATATCTGCAACATGGGATGCTTCCACACTTTAAGCATATATATATATATATATATATATATATATATATATATATATATATATATATATATATATATGTGTGTGTGAAATGTGCAATTCCTCACGTGTTATGGGGTATTTTGCAAGTACACATGTATGAATAGTTATATGACATATAGCTATACATGAATTTTACTATTTCTCTCTCTCTCCACACACACACACACACACACACACACACACACACACACACATATATATATATATATATATATATATATATATATATAGTCAAAAGGAAAACTTTTCTTTACCGACGCGTTCCGTCTTCTGGCGAACAATATCAGTGCAAATCTGACTTTATTTGAAAATTTTCATGGTAACCTTTGCCTTGATAAAGTCAAGTTCTTTTGTCCTTATCTATATTGTCTACATATATATAACCAGATATCATTATATATTTGCAATGAAAATTTTGAATCTATTAGCATAAGCATTTGTCCTCTCTCTTATATAAATACAGCCAGTGGGTCAGATGGAAAATGTGCTTATTCAGAATGACAATCATGCAATTGAAACCATTTTTTTTCAAGTATCCAAACTGAACTATGCTGAATCCTCACAAAAGTTAAAATTCTACGTAAAGAAAATATAACTAAGAAGTGCATGTACAACATCGAATGAAGTTGTAAACGGAAATATTAGAACTGCGCAAACGATTGTACATAATTTAAACTTTTTTTAGAATTGTAAACTTGTGAAGATGTAACACACTGACTTTTTATAACAATCAGGCCAATAATGAAGTATTGGGTGAATAATAAGGAAAAAGAAGTTTCAGGAATATTCAAGAAAGGAAGGAAGTATTATATATGTCGCTAAAAATTATTACATCGAGATGAAGACCGAGATTAGACGAGATTAGACCGAGATGAAGTATGACAAGCACTTCAGCTCACAAGAGAGAAACAAAAATTAAGTAAAAACTGCAATGAAAAAGACAATAATTACACATTTGCAATATTAAAATCTTTGCGGTAATATAATAACCGTGGACTGGATGTGCAAATAGCGTAATGATCATCGATACGGAATTAACGGACCGGGTTCAAATCTCGTCAACTGTTTTTGCGTTGACTTTTACACAAATATCTTTGGAAACGGTAAGGATTTTTCTCTTCTCGTACCAGCCATGGGTTAAATAATATGATAGATTAGGCTTTTTTTAAAGATTTGGCTGACGACCTGTCTAAGAGAAAGGAAACTCTAAGTTCCAAAAGTGTGAAGAAGGCCATAGGATTCCATTGTATCTTTCCAAACAATTCATGGCAGTGTTTTATGGACTATTTGAAAGTATAACCAACACAAAATGAGGCGTGTTGACGTTCGCATCATACCTTAACATGATCACTGAACAAAGGAATGAAGTTTTGTGTTAAAAAGTGAATATCTAATGGTGAGAAATGTTCTATGTTGTACACGTCACGAGATTGTCTCCGGGAAAGCGGATGTGTTCCTTTTGTTTAAACTTATGATTCGACTGGATCTCCTCTGACAGAACAACGATCGATTTATATTCATTTTGGACATCATAGAGCCAATTATAATTTTATGAAATAGAAAGTCATTGCATATCCTGGGGCAAGTTATAAAGAAGAATCTGCTTTCGCCAAAGAATAAAACAGATTTATACCATACTCGACTTTGTTTAAAAAAAAAGCACTCTAAGGAAAAATAGCTTAGTTTCCTAAAATTAATTAGTTTAATCCCCCCTTGTCAAGTAACATATGCAGGAAATGGCTAATATCCATTGACTTAAAAGTCTGTTTCACCGTCGGTTGAAATTTAAAATCATCTTTTTCGTTAAGCGAAATTTAGACTTTTCAAGTCCACTAAATGTTATAGTTCTTTCTAGTGTTCATTGTAGTTTCCTTCCTAACCTTTTGTTTAAGGTAGTTTGGAAGGTGAACATCTTGATTATATCATTTTTTTTTTCTCTTTTAGTTACATGAGCTACCTAATTTTTTAGGTTAACGGCCACATCACGTTTAAACATCGATTCACGTCCTATCACCGAAGTTAGGCAACGCCGAGCCTGGTCATTATTTAGGTAGGTTACAGCTTGGAAATACCAGGTGCCGTATGCTTGGGTGTGCGGGTGGTGTAATGGATAATGGCTGGGAATTCTTCATCGTAGAGCCTAGTTCCAATTTGAACAGATGACCGAAGATAAGCAAAGCCGAACCTGATCAGCACTTAGATGGGTGACCGCTTGGCAATACCAGGTGCTGTAAGGTTGGATGTGCGGGTGATGTAATGGATAATGGCTGGGAATTGTTCATCGGAGAGCCGAGTTGCAATTTGAAGAGATCACCGAAGTTAAGCAAAGCCGAAAGTGATCAACACCTAGATGGGTGACCGCTTGGAAATACCAGGTGCTGTAAGGTTGGATGTGCGGGTGATGTAATGGATAATGGCTGGGAATTGTTCTTCGTAGAGCCGAGTTGCAATTTGAAGAGATCACCGAAGTTAAGCAAAGCTGAAAGTGATCAACACCTACATGGGTGACCGCTTGGCAATACCAGGTGCTGTAAGCTTGGATGTCCGGTTGATGTAATGAATAATGGGTCGGAATTCTTAATCGAGAGCCAGATACTAATTTCCGTTAAGTTCGCTATATTCACTTACGCAAATATACCCTTGGGAAAGGTGTGAAACCACATCTTCTCCCCCAAATATGGGTTAATTCGCAAATATTTTGTCGTTAAACTGTTATCTCTAAACATTTAAAAAATATTTTCTGCTTTTAAATAACCTAAAAAGGGTTGGTGAGCCGTCGAAAACGAATCAATCAATCAATCAATGAAATACTGATTACCTAGACAAGTATGTCTTTTTAGATTTATTTACATTCTCTCGAATAAAAATGCTTTATTTCTGGTAATAATTTTTTGCAAAGTATTTCTGTTATTAAAGCCTATTTTAAAACTTTCATAATGCTTTTTACCTCAGTTTGGGGTTAGCTATTTGCCCATATTGGGACCCTAACAGATGCTACCACGCCGGGTCAGAGTGAACCTGGGAATACCAGCAATTAAGAGGTGGTTCCACACTCCTGAAAACCTCCTGATCAGAGGTCTTGCTGCTGGACGTAGTTTATCGTCTTACCCAGGACGTGGATGTAGTTTATCGTCATACCCAGGACGGTCTCTGGTAACATATCAATTCCTGGTCAGTAATAAAAATGAAGGAATCCAACAGGCAAATGTCCTGCTGGTATCGTTAGAAGTGGTTCCACATTTCTCAAAACTTCCCGATCAGAGGCCTTGCTGTTAGATTTAGTTTTTCGTCTTACCCAGGACAAGGATGTTATATCGTCATACAAAGGGCGGTGAGTCTGCTAGGGTTGTACTCAGGACGCGCAAACGGCAAGAGAGAGAAAAAAACAAGCCGAATATAACCAGTTAAAAATACTATTTACCCCGCTTTTTGTAAAAAATCTTTTCGGCGCAAGGAAGGCAACGAAGCCACGAAGATGAAAAAGGTTACTACGTATATAAGAATCAGAGAAAAGTCAAAACAATTAAGAGACTAAAATAAAAGAACGAAAATTAAGTAAACAGAAAATAATGATTGATATTCCATTTAATTATTTGAAAATCAATGTTGATTGGAGAGCAAGAGGCCAAACGAGAGTTCCAGAAGAAACTGTTAGCATATGACTTATGGTAATCAGATAGCTATTTCAATTGTAAAATGCGAGTTTGAGGCCAATTTAGTAGTGCGTTTAAATTCGTAAAGTCGGGGGACCAAAGAGAAAACCTCAAAAGAACAATTACCATAAAAAGATTAATAGAAGGGGTAAAAAAAATGGTTACGTTGGTAGGAAAGCGAGAGAATCCGAGATGCCAGATCATGACCAATAACAATGTAGAATCTTTGAATTTAATCAAGAATCTCTAAATACACAGGAGCGCTGGATGAAGGCATATTCAAAGCATAGACATATGTGTGAGATAGATTCCTCATAGTTTCCTGGTTCTTAGAAGCTCTTTTGAATCGGTTTTATTGTCACTGTTAAAACCTTAGTTTTATTAGAGTCAATTCCATAGCTAATCTTTTTAAGTTTATTTGCTTTGTGGTGATCCAGTGTACAGAACATTTTCTTATATGGAAACACAATTAGCGTTACTATCAGTTGTAATTTATAAATTATTTCACCTTAAACAGTTTCTGTTTAAATAGGCGTACGTTGTTAAGGCTTTTCACGGATTAATGGAGATTCTCTTCCTAGCTTTTTGTTTAAGTTAATGTGAAAAGTCAATGTCTTTAATATGTTCTTATTTTCTCTTCTCTTTTGCTGTTATTATAAGTAGTTAACAGATAGGCGATCTGATATTTGGTGTTGTTCTATGTTTATATAATTCTGTAGCACAGGACCATGAGGTTCGATGTATTATAATCATCTTTGAGAGCCAATGCCCATTCGCTTAAAAGCTATTTTGATTATTTATCGGAGACATTTAAATCGCTTTCTGAAAGAATCGGACGCCATGTATGACATCCAGTAAAGATCTGGCGAAGACGGAGAACGAGCAGATCAAGCAGAAATACCTGTTCTCGTGCGATCGTCCAAGTTAAGCAACGTCGAGCCTAGTCAATACCTAGATGGGTGACCGCTTGGGAAGAAATCGTGCTGTAATCTTGGATGTGAGTTAGTATAATGGATAACGACTCAGAATTGAAATTCGGAGAGGTGTGTTTCAATTCCTGTCGAATTCTTTATATTCATTTACACGCAAATAACCGTGGGAAAGGCATGAATCTACATTTCCTCCACATCTATGGGTTAATTAGTTGAACTTATATCAGTAAATTATCCTTATCTATAAAATTTTTTTAACATATAAAAAAAGATTTTCTGGCTTTAAATAACATGAAAGAGTTCATTAAGCCATAATAACAAATCAATCAGACAATTTGACGAAGGTATTTAACATCTTGCGTTAATATCTTGGTCTCGTAGCACCTTAATAGGAAAAAATAGGATATGTATGCTCTATTGTGGTAAAGTCTTCGTAAATAGGAAACTGTTGGGAATTCCTAATGGAGATTCCAAGTTCTTAGAATCTCTTTTGAATCGCTTTTATTGTCATTGATAAAATCTTGAGCTATTCGAGTCAATGTTTATTTGCAGGGATATGGGTTAATTAGCAGAACTTATCTCACAAAAAAATCTTAGAATATAAAAGACAATATTTTCTGGCTTTAAATAACCTACAAAGTGTCTATAAATCAAACCAAACGACCATTCCATCTGAGGAAGCAACATAACTATTATACACTATATTGTTCGGACTATTTTCCTCATCTGTATTGTCATATTCAGAACGTTTCGGCCGTTGTACGCCCCGGCCTCCTTCAGCTGGCATACGTTGGAATTTCGAACCGAATCCGAGGTGAATAAAAACTTGGAGACTTCAGATACTAAAGGGAAATAACTGAAACTGAGATATCCAGAAAGGGCATGGCACGTGGAACTAGAACACTCGACCTTCGGTGGACGAATTAAAGGGTTTGGTTCGAATTTTCCAATATATACCACCAGAAGAAGGCCGGAGCGTACAACGGCCGAAACTTCGTGAATATGACAATAAGGATGAGGACAAGAATCCGAACAATGTAAATAGTGGAGATAGTTAAAATACCTCATCTCTGAAATATAAACAGATCCTGAAGAAGGCCGAAGCATAGAACAGTCGAAACGTCATGAATATGACAATAAAGTTGAAGACAACAGTCCGAACTATGTACTGTAATTAGTTCCAATACTCAGAAATATAGACAGATAACTATTCTAATTATTTATTTGAGGCCTCCATATGAATGCCTAGATCTGGCGAAGCTGGGTAACTGGCATATCACGTCGAAACAACTATTCTCATACGATCGCCTACGTCAAGCTGACACTCGCCTACGTACTGACTGGGCTCAAAACTGCTTAAATTGATCAAACGTGAACTGGTATTTCAACATGAAGGCGACTTATTTACAGTCGTGTGGGGGGTGAAGCAAACGAGGATTGCTATTAAAAGTAACAATGAATTCAGGGAAAGACGAGCTTGGCATTATTAATTAACATATTTCACCATGGCACGGCAGGTAACATTTAAGCAAACTGGGAGGTTTTTTTTTTTTTTACGTACTCTGTACCTCTGTTTTCTAACAGACCATTCTAACGAATCGGACCGTTTCAAAAAGAAAAGAGATATAAAAATAAGAACGTTTTTACTAATCGACCAAGAGCACCTGACCCTCGACAGAAATACGTGAAGAACTCGGTTACTTGTAATCTGTGAAAGTAAAAAAAAAAAAATAAATAAATAAAATAGAGCGAGAAACAGTCCTCGGGGATTTCAGGAGAATTTTCTAAACTGATTAGTTTGAAGGAATAAAAGGAAAAGAAAGGAAATCTTTGCAAGATTTATTTGTATTCAGCTATGTGTTAAGCGCCGGTAACACACCTGGGCGAATAAAGAATTTTTTCTGTTTCCTTTCTCATATGCAAGGATAAATATTCCTTTTCAGTGAAACGCTTCTTCAACAAAATATAAAATAACCCTGATAGGAGCTATCAGGGTTATTTTAAAGAAAGTAAAAAAGAATTGCAGAAGAAAATCTGGAATATTGATTAAATATAGATTATGATTATTTCTATTTTAAATTCGCTAAGATTAGTATTTTAGTGATGAAGTCATCGTTATTCATGATTTTAGATAGTTTTCAGGAAGTTATGATGCTACTGTAATATATATATATATATATATATATATATATATATATATATATAGATAGATAGATAGATAGATAGATAATATTTGGTAAATATACACATACATATGCAAAATATATATATATATATATATATATATATATATATATATATATATATATATATAGTTGCATACACATACATGTATATTTTTTGAATAAAAAATTCCGAGAGGATAGAATCCAAGTAGAACTCAATGTCCTGGACAGAGTAAGAATATAATAAAAAGGCTTATAAATTATGACCATGGAATATTAGTGTTTAAGCCTTTTTATTATATATATATATATATATATATATATATATATATATATATATATATATATATATATATATAGTCTTAAGGTGTACTATATTTATGGGATAAAGTGCTCAATATCAGGGATAGAGCGTGTGTAATTATAAAGTGAACATTGAAGTCAACACTTAGAGGCGATAGTCAGTTTCATGCTAGACTTAATCGTCAGGCCACGATTGCCTCTTGCATGAAACAGCCTGTCGCCTCTAAGTGTTGACTTCAATATTCACTTTTGTATTTATTATATTATAGTTGAAATAAACTTTCAGTAACCACGCTAAACTCGGCCTTGTGCCCCATACATCCCTGGTGGGGAGGGGGTCTGTTAAATATAACAGTCGAATAGATTGTTCTCCAGAGGCTATGACTTTTCGCAGCTGCTGTCGAACTCTCTGCTTTGGACGAGGCTGTGCCGAAGGGCAGAGTCTCGTCCGGGGAGGTAAACAGACTCGAACCCGTTTATGCGGGTTCTACGGGGTTTTTTTGACGAGCTTACGGGCTCGCAAACCCACGTTAAACTCGGCCTTGTGCCACATCTACCCTCGTGGGGGGATGCTGTTAAATATTAACAGAGGAATAGATTGAACGCTGGGTCAACCGACACACATTCACTAGTCGTGTAATACTCTTCTGTTGTACTTACTGTTTAACATATGATATATCTGCAACCCTTGATTTATTATTACTTAACCATTTACTTGGTCACAACAATTACCCACCTTGCTAAAACTGTATCAAGGACTTGAAATTAATGTCATAGTGCCATTTATCTTTTGTAAATATTAATCCATAGATTTCAAAATACATAGAGAAAGCAATAATACTGCCGTATAGAGTAAGTTTTAAAGTACAGAAAATATATATCAACATATTTACCTCCCTTGACTATATGCTTTTACCAGTGATGGACTTTTCATTTGTTGAGTGATGTCTTGACCTGTTCGAAAAAATATGAGTTATTGGTTACGTATTTCATTTTCTACTACCCTGCCACAAACACTACTTTGTTAATTCGGTTCACAATTCAGAGGTGGGTGCTGGTAAAAAGACATGAGATTTTGAACCTTTCTGTCAATATCCCATACATTTTTTGCCTTATTACTGATATGTATTTTTAAGCTTTTCACCACAAGCTAGGTGGGAGTGTCTCAAGCACGCAAGGGGTTAGATCAAGACCTCCGAGTCTAGCTGCGTCGTGATACAGTCTTTGACTGTAAGCGACGTCTGTCGAACTCTCTGCGAAAGGCAAGGTTTCGTCCGGGGAGGTAGACAGGGCCTGAACCCGTCTAGGCGGTTTCAAAAAGGCTATATTTTTGGCCGAGCCTACGGGCTCGGAGATACCCACATTAAACCGGCCTTGTGCCACATTCAATCCTCGTGGTTGGATCGATAAATAGTGAGCACGCAAGGGGGTTACAGAGGTTGGGAGCAAGAGTAAAACTACGTGATAGAGGAAAGGATGAAGAGAAGGACAGGGAATAGATCAACGCATCAAGAGATGTCGATTGACATTACATTTGTATTGTTGAAGATTATAGCTATCAGGGAAGCAAGTAAGACGAAGGGAGTTCGACAGTCTAATATGAAAGTGCGTACGAAACAGAGTTGTGCAATTGAATACCTTCATGCGTAAAAAAAAGAAAATACACTCGCAGACATTCATTGACGATTGACTCATTTTTTAGGAAACAAGTGGATATGAGCACGGTTAGGCCTTTGTTAAAACGGACCAGTCGTCGGAACATCGATTTGTGTGACAAGCCTTATTCTGCAAAGCCTTTTACGTAATGAATCCGTTGTAGAGTATTATGGAAATACACTGGCTGAAAAATCACTTAACTACAAAACTTGAGATTTATCATAAGGTAGGGAATCAATTCAAATAGTTTGGTTCGTTTATCATCAAAGAGAGGTCAAGAAATTTGAAATAATTTTAAGATCAACTCCAACAATTACAGGTGGTTCAAGTTTTGGCTTACACACTATATTGGATATTAAAAAATAACCATCCTCTTATATTAAACAATTCAGCGTATCTCTATGTCACAGAAATATCCAGACCTAAATCGGTTATGTTTTAACATCTTGGGAGTCATTGTGAATACCGGTGATCAAGGCAAAGTGGCATGGATTACAAGAGTTAGAACTGGCTATGAAACGGGTATTAGATATGTTATGATGTTGATTTGGGGTTAGTAGAGACAAACGCCAAATAACACGTAACAATAAAAAGGGTTTTAATAGGTTGGTAAAAAGGTACAGAAATCGCCTGAGTAGTCAATAACTAGCTCAGCTAAGAACTTCTCTGTCTCTCTGTCTTTCGACATGCCACTATTTAAAGTCTTTGTTCGCAGACAAGGTCATCTTCAAGACGGGTGGTAGGTTTCAGACACAACAAGATATATGGGACATTTCATTTCTGAGATTTGGGTGTCGTTTGACATACCTCAACTTATGCCATCTTTATCCCGGGAATAACTATATAAGGATTTACTTATTACTGACGAGAGCTCAGTGGCCGATCGTAGATCCTTAATGTATTTGACCAAAAGCATCTGCAGAACGTTGTCTGT